TGTTCTTCACTCACCTACCTGACAGCTGATACCTCTCACCTGCTTCTCTCTGCAGGTCACACAGCTGGACAGGACGAACACAAAGGAGAAATGAATCATGGACTGGTAGCCGTTGTTGTTGTTGTTGTTGTTNCTACTGTGGGAGTGGGATTTGCACTTTAACGTCTCTGCTCTGTGTTTTTGTTTTCTCTCCTTCAGATCAGGAAAACATCACAGCTATCCCTGGAGAGACTGTCACTCTGCAATGCCAAGCTCCCACAAACATCTCCATCGGAGCTGTGGAGTGGACCAGGCCGGACCTGGAGCCGGAATACGTCCTTTTCTGCCGTTCAGACCAGAAGCCTGATGTAGAAAACCAGCATCCATCTTTTCAGAACCGGGTGGACCTGATGGACAGACAGATGAAGGACGGTGACGTGTCCATGATTCTGAAGAATGTGACGAGTGATGACACAGGAACATATGAGTGTCACATCATTAACGAAAAGAACAAGAGCGGCTCAAAGCGCAAGAAGAGAGCCAGCTTTGACACTGACGCCATCAAGAGCATCTACCTGGATGTTCATCAGTCAGGTGAGTCTTGGTGCAGCTACTTCCTGGTTGTTGCTGTGACAGTGAACCATCTCACATCAGATGTTGTTGATGAGACTTTGTAGAAATCAGCTGATGTGAGTCATGTGATCAAAGTGCAGGAGATAATGTCTGACAGGAGTTTAAAGAGGAAATGGATTCTGTTCTGTTCTTCACTCACCTACCTGACAGCTGATACCTCTCACCTGCTTCTCTCTGCAGGTCACACAGCTGGACAGGACGAACACAAAGGAGAAATGAATCATGGACTGGTAGCCGTTGTTGTTGTTGTTGTTGTTCTTCTTCTTCTTGTTATGCTTTTTCTGACACGCAGGAGACACGGAGANGGACGGTGACGTGTCCATGATTCTGAAGAATGTGACGAGTGATGACACAGGAACATACGAGTGTCACATCATTAACGAAAAGAACAAGAGCGGCTCAAAGCGCAAGAAGAGAGCCAGCTTTGACACTGACGCCATCAAGAGCATCTACCTGGATGTTCATCAGTCAGGTGAGTCTTGGTGCAGCTACTTCCTGGTTGTTGCTGTGACAGTGAACCATCTCACATCAGATGTTGTTGATGAGACTTTGTAGAAATCAGCTGATGTGAGTCATGTGATCAAAGTGCAGGAGATAATGTCTGACAGTTTAAGGAGGAAATGGATTCTGTTCTGTTCTTCACTCACCTACCTGACAGCTGATACCTCTCACCTGCTTCTCTCTGCAGGTCACACAGCTGGACAGGACGAACACAAAGGAGAAATGAATCATGGACTGGTAGCCGTTGTTGTTGTTGTTGTTGTTCTTCTTCTTCTTGTTATGCTTTTTCTGACACGCAGGAGACACGGAGAGCAGAACTTACCCCAACCTCCTGCTGATGTAGTAGACGACGATCTGTTCTAATACAACACACATGGTAAATAGTGGAGGGGTTTGTGAGCTCAGAGGATCCTGGGAGCTGTGTTGGGTCTCCCACGGCAAACTGGTCCCAGGTGATAATATAATATAAGATAGATGAAAATTCAATTGTCCAGCTGCCCAAGTGCATTTACAGTCCAGTAGTCCGGGCGTATAGGAACTGAAAAAGCTCCGACCTCTGAGGCTCAACACTGAAGCGCCAAAAACTGCACTTTTACTGATGGGGGGAGAGGATTTTAATAAGTACGGCATCCATCCTTATTTATTATTATTTATTTTCTGTGGGGATGGATGGACGTGATGAATTAGGAAAAATGATTTTATTTATACACAGGGTTTTCAAGGCGCAGTGCCAGTTCACACCAGCTGTTCAACAAGCTTTAAACATGTAGAAACACTGCTGTTTGTTTTACACAAGTGCAGCGTGCCACTGTTAAGCTAACAGTAAAGTATTATAAAGAAGAGGGAAAAACCAAAGTAAAATTATTAGAGCCCGACCGATATTGGATTTTTGGGGCTGATACCTATATATATATATATATATATA